TAATTCCAGAATACTATATTGACTATGGTATATTATAAGATGAAACCAATAGAATTTTATATAATAGTAGAATTATAAAAATTTTTGCACACTGCACAAAATTTTATTACCAATTGACGTTTTAACCGCGTTTCGAAAAAAAAATTTATTGCTTTTAATTTTGTGTCAATTTTTTCTCCGTTTAATAAAGTGACAGTTTGCCTAATAAACCAAAAAAAAATTATTTACATATGTACATACATATATGTATACATGCTTCCATAATACATATATGAATGTAGAAGGAAGATAAATACATTTTTATATTATGTCATTATTGTTATTACAATTGTCATTTTTTTTGTAAGTAGAAGGTTGTCAATGAAAATATCAGTGTTTTAGGTCGATTTTAATTTCAAATATATGGCTAAAATTTTTTTTATTGGATAAAATTGGATAAAATAACCATAAAAAAAGTCTTTTAAAAATTAAAAATAAGCATAATATCAATTATATTATTTAATAATCAGTTCCATTATTAAAATTATATCATTTCAAAATAAGTATAAAATTGTTAAAAATTTTTCTCAAAAATATTTTAAACTTATTAAGTTTATACAGAAAAAACTTATTTTATAGTAAATTCACAAATATAGTAGCAATGAATTTATTTTTACATTTTTTACTTCAAATTTCAATTTTTTTAATCAAAAATACTGAAAAACTGTTTATTCTTATATTAGTTCTTCTTAACCGTAGTTAAGACTGACCCCTTTAATTTTATATTGTAAAAGAAAAAACATTTTTATAATAGTTTGAAAATTTTATATATAAGTATATAATTGCATTTCTTCGATATAACAGCTTTCAAATTATAAGATTGCAGTTATTGATATGCATGTTTGCGTTTATAACTGTTTTGACAAAACAGCCAAAAAATTTTGGCAATTTTCATTTCACAAAACATTGTAAAAATTTTTTACTAGCGCTTAAGACTAATAAATGCAGTATGCGGTTGATTAAATATATTCAAATAGATACAAATCAGAAACGCCGCGCGGCAATCGCGTGCGTATTAAATTCCCGATACAAAGCGAACGTTGCTGGAACTAAAAATGTGTTTCATTGTTTTTTGACGTTTTATACAAACATCCACCATATTTTTATCAATTATTTTAATCATATTGAGCCTTTTATAATTTTAACGTCACTTATGTGGCATTTGTCGTTGTCGGTGCCATATTGTTTGCAATGTGGTATTTCAAATGTCGAGCAACTCGAGTGTAAGAAATAATCGAAAATGAAGCGTTTTGAGTGAAATTGACACATTAAAAAAAAAATATTAAATACTTTTCCACAAAAAACGTCGTGTCGCATTTTCAATGTGTTGAAAAGTTTCTACGTGCAAACGTTGAAAACAGCACATTTACACATTATCTATGTACATAAATAGAATATGTAACAGCAAATTCATTTTACTCATCAGCATTGAAATATCTACAATCACATACCAAATTTTGTTTCAATTTTTGAAATCTACTTTTTTCAGAACATCAGTCCCTTATTGATAAAATTGTACAACACAAATATACTTTCAAATTAATTGACATATGTATATGTATTTTTATCATTATTTTTGCATGTATGATTCCACAAATCACAATATGTATATTCAATGTATAACACATTGCATGCGAGTATTCCAGAAAATTGTAGTATAAAATTATGATTACCTGATCCAAACATAAAACACATCGACTTTTATCATTAAAAAAAAAAGTTTGTGTATGGCGTACGGCACACAGTTGTTGTTAAAATATTAATATGTAATTGACAAACTTTTGAATCAGATCATACGAATAAAGTAAGATTCTTATTGTTGGGTGGTTACAAGTGTTACGACATTATAACTTTACATAGAAAAATGTAAATTTCATCCGTTTTTTTGAAAAAAATTTTCCATTGTTAATTTGAAATACTTAAATGATTCTCCGCTACGTAATCTGTTATTATTTATTAAAATCCATTAGAATTGAAAGTTCCCACTTTCATTTCAAACTACACTTTGCATTGAACTCTAAATGTTTTCTCACCACAAATTTTGGCAAAATATTTGCGTACACATATTTTTCCACTTATCAGCATGTAATTTTACATGTTGCTTTTTTATGTACCTAATTGATTTCTCTCTCTGAATGGCCAGAATAGCATGGCCAAACCATGCGAAAGTATTCGATTCCATTTTACATTACAGAGATTTTTAAGCACACCAACACAGGCACTGTTATATGTTTTGTCTACCATTGTATTGTTCATGTTTTATTTTTATTTCCGTTAAAAAAAAACCGAAGAAACAACTTTTCGCTCTAATTTTAAATTGGTTTTTGAACATTTTTTTTTTGATTCCCGCCTCAAAATCATTTTTCTATTAAATTCAACAAAAAACCACTTAAAACAATTCTTTAACAATATAAAGTGTAATTATTTTAATATGTTTTTACTTTTAAGCTTAAAAAATATTCATGAAATATAAATCAAAAATATTTCGTGAAAAATTTTCAAAAAACTGATATTGAATTATAAAATTTTTATAAAAAGAATCAATAGTGGTCTCTTTAATTCTCCTAAAGTTCAGGTCTGATCAAATATGTATCAAGTAATACATATGTATTGCATGTAGCTTAAAAAATAATTCTCTCTTAGTTGGAGAACCGCATACATATATGTTATACGTATATTCCAAACATTGTTACGATGATGAATACAAAAAACTTGAGTTCACATACATCTTTACATTATAAGAGTTTATGTTTATATTTGCTCTGGCGCAAATGTAGTGTTGTATCACGTCCACCAACACTCATTTGAGAAAAATGTTCTTAACTGCAATACAATTCACTATTAAATTAAAATTACTTACTTTTTTCACTTTATGAGAGCCTGATACTATTAAACTTGGCAACATTGCACTAGGTAAGTGCTATGTGAACTAAAAGAATTTTTGTTTAGTTGGAAATTGTAGTCCTACCATATTATTTTATTTTTTAAATTGCTCTTAAAGCGACATTCGTCATTTTAAAACAACAATGTCTGATAATAATAAGTTTTATTAAAAACCGAGCACTGTTGTGATAGAGGATAGAATGTAAGCATATACATATCCAAATAAATAACCTAAACGGTTAATGTAAAAAAATAGGAACTGTTACTGAAGAGTTACATAATATGCACAATGAAAAACACATGATATTGTTTTTAATATAAGAAAAGGGGTTAGCTTCCAGATGTAATTTTTCACATATACATATGTACATATATACTCTTAGTAGATATTACTAAACTAGTAGAATTGAGTTTTTTTTTTGCTAAATTATTGAAACACATTTATAATCAATTATTATTCAACTATAAATTATCAATTAGTCAAATATTAATAATAATATCCAAAATTTCCTTACTAATTGTTACACTATCTAGTAATTAATACAAAATTCGAAGTTTTCCTTTAAAAAAACATGAAAAACATCAGCTGTAAGGGAACGAGTACATAGAAGAACAGCGATGCAACCTAAACAAAAATTCATTCGGATTGAATTTCTGATCTACCTTTCATTCAGATAGTAAGAAAGTAGGTATTAATAATTTTGAGTTGATTACAAGCGCCAAAATTGTTCTATTTAAGCAAAACATAACCTACAAAAATTAATTTCAAATAAAGGTTTCTTTTTAAATCCTCTTTATCGTCGCTCTCTTTAGATACCAACGGGGGCCAGGCGCTAAAATTTGAAATAACTTGAATGTAATAAGCTATAAGGTACACGGATCTTCGATTTAAACAATTTTTTGGGAGAACTTGAAGTGTAGCCTTCAAGCAATTTAACATTGTGAATAATAATATAATTTTTTCTTTTTTAAGTTGATAATATAACTTTTAAAACTTCTAGACAATCACAATTTATTTGAACTGTAGTATAATAACATTTTTTTAGGTAAAAGCAACATTTTTGTAATTTACCTTGTAAAAATTAGAACTACATAGTCAATGGTTAAATCAATGTTTACCGTTTTAAATTAGAACTGCTGTTGGATTGTAGCAGCTCAGATTGTAAAAGCAAGTCCATTTTAGTTTGTAGTGCACTAGTACTCCAACAGAATTGGCAGCAAAAAATTGGTACTGTTTGTCAATTTTTGCTTTGACAATATTTTCTTTTTGTTTTGCCATTTTTTAATTTTGACATTTTTTGCAAATAGACTTTTTTATTGGCATTACAATTTTTTTAGTTTTATCGTAGTTTTCTTTCTAACTTTGTAAGGAGAAAAGTATTTAAAACTTCGGGCCTTACTATGTAATTCGACTAGCGTGAAACGATTTTCGTATTCGACAAAATGGTAAGGTAGTACGAATCAATTTATATGGTAAAGTCTTTCATTTTCTGGAAGTACGAAAATCGAATATAGCGGAATATTGCATAGCGGACATACCATGCAATTGATTGGTGTTGCCTTACCATTTTTACGAAAAACGTTTCAGGAAGATCGATTTACATTGTAGGGCTCCTGATATTGTTGAAAGAGTTGGCAAAGATGCAAACATGAAATAAACCACAATTAACGTTTCATAACCGGGATTTAAATGATTTTTGTTAAAACTGGCTTGAAATATTCGTAAGGTTACTTCACGAGATCATATTAAATTTTAACTCAGTTATCTAAGTAAAAAATGACAAACTTAGCACCGTAAGCGTGCTTTATTTACTAAAAATAATTCTTCTTTTTTTTAATTGTATTAATTTTATGGTATATATTGAAGTTGTCAAAAATAACTCACTTATTTAAAAACTAGTGTCAAAGTTTTTTGTTATTATTTAATAGAATTCAACTGAATAATTTTTGTCTCGTGAAGCATTTATAAATTTTTATCACCTACATTTATTTATAAATGTACTGCAAACGATAGCAGCGCTGGGTAGGTACCAATTTGCAAAAAAATTGTAAAATGTCATTTGTCATATTTAAAACAACCGCGTATGGGTTTACATTGCATTTGAATTTCAAAAATTAAAGAAGAAAGCAAGAAAAGCTGATAAAGCCTTGAATATATATTATATATTTGCGCGTTTTTAAATTCAAATATAAGTTGTTAAAGTTTTGTAAAATTGTGTATTTTGTCTAGTGTTTGCGTTTTTAAAAGAAATGGATATCGACGAAAAAGATTTACCATTCAAAATTGAATATGCTAAAACAGGAAGAGCCAGCTGCAAAGGATGCAAAACCGGCATTGGTCAAGGGTCTTTGAGACTTGCAGTGATGGTTCAGGTAACTACATTTGTAGTTATAATATAATTTCATAGTTAGTTACTAAAATGCTATTTTATTTAAATATGAAAGGGATTCTTCTACACTTTTAAATATTTCACAACAAATTTTTATACTTGAAATTTTCAGTCATGGAAATTTGATGGAAAGCAGCCTAATTGGTACCATGAGCATTGCTTTTTTAATAAGCAACGCCCTGGATCGGAGGGTGACATTGCTAACTTTAATAATATTAAATTAGCTGATCAAAAAAGGATTAGAGAAAAAATATGTAAGTCACATCTAAGTTTTAAAAAATCGATTTTTAAATATTTATGTTTATATCACCAGCTGAACTTGGTGGTGCTGCTGTTGTGATGCCGAAATCTGGGAAAGGTAAAAAACGCTCGGCAGCTGAAATTGCTGCGTTAAAAGATTTTGGCGTTGAGTATTCCAAATCCTCCAGAGCAACATGTCGAGGGTGTGAACAAATAATAACAAAAGGTGATGTTCGTATTCAAAAAACTGTTTTTGATACTGAAGTGGGAGCAAAATATGGCGGACAACCATTGTGGCATCATGTTGATTGTTTTGTACAATGTAGAAATGATCTAGGCTACTTTGAATCAGGGGAATTTCTACCTGGATTTGGGAATTTATCTAAAGAAGATCAGAAGCTTGTGAAAGAAAAATTGAAGTAAATTTTATTTCACAATCTTTTCTTATTTATTTTTTTATTTATTTTTTTTTATAGAAAAGTCAAGCAAGAAGAGATCCCAGAAGTTAAGAAAGCTAAACTTGAACCAAAAGATGAAGCTGCGGATGCCGAATTTGAAAAAAATCTTGAAAAGCAACAGAAAATTTATGATAAATATTATGAAGTTGTTACAAAAGTTATGACTAAAAATGATTGTTTAGATTTGTTAGCATACAACAGTCAAGAGCCAGTTGCAAATGATACGGGAAAGCTTTTTAATCAAGTTGCTGACATGTTAGCATTTGGAGCGTTGAAACCATGCACTGTTTGCAATAGTGGCCAGTTACATTTTAACAAAACTGGTTATTTATGCAACGGAAATTTAACAGAGTGGACGAAATGTGCAACATTTGTTAAAGAGCCCGAAAAGCTTCAATGCAAGATACCAGATCATATTAAGGAAAAATATAAAAAGCTTCAAAAATATAAGGAAAAACCAACAATCCGTCTCGTAAAGTATGTGGCTCCAAGTGCTGCAACTTTAGTGAAGTTGGCAAAAAAAGAAGAGGATCTAAGGTACAGTGCTTATTACAGTAATTCCCTTTTTTAATTCAATAAAATTTTTGTATTGTTGTAATAGTACTGGCCCCAAAGTAAAGCGAGAACGGCCGCCTTTATATAATTTTAAGGTTGCTATTCATGGCCTCAAAGATGAAGAAGATAAAATTAAGAAATTGGTGGAAAAATTAGGTGGGAGCATTACGAAGTCTATAAATGAAAAAACTACAATAATTATTTCTGAAGAAAAAGAGGTTGAGAAAATGGGGAAAAAAATGTTAAAAGCTAAAGAGCTTGGGATTCATATTGTTCCAGTAGAATATTTACACATAGTTAAAGAAGACAATACTGGGGCTATTTCATTTATTTCCAGTAAAACATTGTGTGACTGGGGCACAGATCCAAGTCCTCGTTTAGCTCACGAAGAACAACTTAGGAGTGAAAATAAATCAAAAAGCATGTACACAAAATCAATACCCAAATCAGTAACCTTGAAATTGAAAGGGGGCTCCGCTGTGGATCCTGATTCGGGTTTGCAAGATAGTACTCATGTATACAAAAAAGGTGACAATATTTATAATGCAGTTTTGGGTTTAACTGACATACAAAAGAATAAAAATTCTTATTATAAAGTACAAGTCCTCGAAAGTGACCATGGTCATCAGTAAGTATTATCTTGTTCTGAGTTTAAATGAAAATATTGAATTAAAAACTTTAGTAAAATCCATAAAACATTATAGTAAAAATATTTGAAATTATGATTTTAGATACTTCGTATTCAGAAGTTGGGGTCGCATTGGAACAACCATCGGTGGAACCAAACTTGAATCTTGCAACAATCTTCTTGAAGCGTTGCATAGTTTTGAAGTTTTATATAAAGAAAAAACTGGCAATGATTTCTATGATCGTCATAATTTCCAAAAAGTTAGTTAAATGAAATAAAAAAAAATGTTGATAAAAGGCAAAAGTATAATACGGATTTTCTTTCACAGATTGCTGGTTTTATGTATCCGATCGATGTTGATTATGGAAATGAGGAAACAGCGAAATTAAATACAGAACATCACATTAAATCAAAACTTCCAACTCCAGTTCAGGATCTCATTAAATTAATATTTGATGTTGATGCAATGAAAAAAGTTATGCTTGAATTTGATTTAGATATGGATAAAATGCCATTGGGAAAATTAAGTCAAAAACAAATTCAAAATGCTTATAAAGTTTTGACAGAATTATCCAAACTTATAAGTGAAGGGGGGACAAATTCACAATTTATTGATGCTACAAATCGTTATTACACATTAATTCCTCATAACTTTGGAGTAAACAATCCTCCCATATTAGATACAGCTGAACAGATTAAACACCACAGTGATACTTTGGATAATTTGCTAGAAATAGAGTTTGCTTACAATTTGATAAAAGGTAAATAACTTATTTTTTTTTTTTGAATTTTAAAAATATAGCGCTGAATATTTTATATTAAAGGTGAAAAGGGTAAAGAAGGTGAAAAAGATAGTGAAGTTAATCCTATTGACAAACATTATGAACAACTTAACACAGAAATGGAACCACTTGATAAAAATTCGGAAGAATTTGAAACATTATGCAAATATGTTCAGAATACTCATGCAGAAACACATCGTATGTATGATCTAGAAGTTGTGGACATATTCAAAGTTGTTAGGAAAGGTGAATTACGTCGCTTTAAGCCATTCAAAAAATTACATAATCGTAAGTTATTGTGGCATGGATCAAGACTAACAAACTTTGCCGGTATTTTGTCCCACGGTAAGAAAAAAAAATTTTGTTGTTATTAGGATAGTGAAATCAAAACTTTTATTGTTTTACTTCTTTAGGCTTAAAAATTGCACCACCAGAAGCACCTTCAACTGGTTACATGTTTGGTAAAGGTATTTATTTCGCAGATATGTCATCCAAGTCAGCGAATTATTGTTTCACTAGTAAACAAAATAACGTTGGTCTTATGTTGTTATCAGAAGTAGCGCTTGGAGATATGTATGAATTAACGAATGCAAATTACATAACTAATTTGCCGAAAAATAAACATAGTTGCAAAGGTGTTGGTCGGACTCATCCTAACCCCAAAGAGTCTATATTCCGAGAAGATGGTGTTGAAATACCGCTTGGAAAACCAATTACGGATGATAAACTAAAGTCATCTCTTTTGTATAACGAATATATTGTCTACGATGTTGCCCAAGTAAATGTTCAGTATTTGTTGAAATTAAGTTTCAACTATAAATATTAAGAAACTTTCGAATTCCAAAAAAAAGAAATTTTGGTTTTTTTTTCTGTTAACATTATGAAGTTTATATTTTTGTATTTCTGTTTGATAAAGCTTTTGACTCCTATTATAACAATAACAATGAACAGTAAAAATATATTTACTATGATTCACTGCAGATAATTGTATTCTTTAAAAATTTCTGACAGCATTAATATAGTTCCTATAATAAAGTTATGCCTTTGTATAGCTTTATTTACGTAGGTGAGTGACATAAACAAAATTTCCAGATTGAAAGTCTGAATTTATATTTCATTTACTTTGATTTGGCAAAAAAAAAAAAAAACAAGTTCCCTACATTATTTTTGATTTGTATGCGATAGTGTAAAGTATTTTCGTACATTTAAACATACTATGTATGCTATGTGCATATGTATTCTTTGGCGCTTTAAATAATGTTCGCAGATTTGAGCATAGCTCTTATCATTGTTTGAAAAAAACATTTGGGTAAATGTTTTTGTATTTGTTTTTCATTCTGTTTTGTACCACACAATAGAGCACATCTCAAAAAAAAATTTCAATTTTAATTACAACTCTAAGTAAGTTGTTGGAATTTATCTGGGATTATTTATTACAAATTTTACAGAAGTGGGTCTGATATTTTAAAGACGGTAAAATTTGAAAGGGTTTAAAACAGTCTTTAAGGCTGATCAACATGAGTCATAAATTCAGTTTTGTACTATCAAAATGTACTCAATTTTAAATCATAACTACATATGTACATACATGGGATTTTTGTTTAAACTTAAATCATTTTTGCAACATTTAGAAAAATGCTTTAGAACTTCAAGTATGCTAGCGATTTCGAAATTTCTTGTTTTGGAATAGAGATTTGTCGAACATGCTACATTTGAAGATTTTGTAGTTTTGATTTATTGACCATGCTTGATTTATGTAAGCAGTTAAATCTACCATGTTTCTTTTCTCTTTTTTAGTTTATAGTTTTGCAGCGTTCCCACTAGAATACAATTGTATCCATTTGGATACATTTTTGCTTTAAATTTGAGCTTGGATACAAAGATACTCAAATCTGCTAAAATACCGAAATTGGCTACATTTTAAAATTTTGCTGAAATATGGACACATTTTTTTTCAAACTCTAAATAGATATTACAAAACAGTTAAAATGCTGCTAATATTAAATCGCGAAGTTGCTTTATCTTCAATAAATGTTATTTGCTGGCTTTTCTAAGCAGGTTTCCGAATTTTTTAGAAGTAAAAAAGATACTTTATTAACTGCCTCTTCCTGAATTCATATCTAAAACATTTATGCAAGAACGTACCAGAAATATTTTATTGTAAGCTAGGTGTAATAGAAAATGCATTGGGTGTACATATTTTTTAAAATTTGTCCGTTTTCATGGTGAATTGTCTTTACCGCATAGTTCAACAACTACACAACATAATATGCATATGTTTTTCTTACCTTAACTTTTGCAAATAAAAATATAATAAAAGTTGTATGTGATTTCTTAAAGAATTTACTATAAATAACAAAACTCATATTGCGGAATAATATTAATAATATTAATTATGGGTTAATTTGTACATAAAGACGACTTATTATAGTAATGCTATTTTAAGATGCTGGATACATTTTGGATACATTTTGTTTTTACCGAGTGGGAACAAAACTTTTATTATTTTATTGTATTACTTTCATATTTCTCTTAAATTATTTTACTTATTTTACTACTTTATTTCGCCACACCATATTTAAATCGATTTAGGGCTACAAAGTCGCAAATTTTTTCCATTAAATAAAAAACAATATTAATAAATATCAATTAGCATTAAGATAACTATCTATCTCTTTCTTTATCTAAAAAGCAATGTGTACAACAGCTAATGTTTAGAGTTCTTCTTAAAATGCCACGAAAATCTTGTATATCCTTATACCAATTCAAATAACCAGAAAGTTTATCCATTAGTTGACTACTATAATGAAAGGCATCATTTTGAAAGACTTTTTGTACTTGTAGGAACTACTTCCCATATTTGTTCTTCAACAGATATTTAAATGGATAGATCCGATATTTAAATGGATGGTCCAATGGCTTGGTGGAACAAATAATGTAGTTGATAATTTTTTTTTGCTTGCTCGTTCAAGGTTTTTTCCATTATTCAAACCTCAACAGCAGCTTTTCATACTTCAAGCTGTACCATTACAATCATTTAACCTGCTTAATATTTGGTGTCTTTTTGCAAAACAATTTAAGCGACCTTAACATATGTAGCTCGAGGGGCCAAGCACAATGAATTCCTGATCTAAATCTTTATGCAGTAATTTCAATAATTACTTTTTTTGTGTGATCATCAAAACGATGCGTTGCTTATGCAGTAGTCAAATCTCATAGCGATGTCCTAAGACGCAGACAATGCATTATTTCCATCAAAAGGTAGTAATACATGACTTGTTTTTATTGGTTTGTTAAATTATCTTCAAGTCAATGATAAATATTTTACCTAAAAAATATTATTTATATTTGCCTTTTAAAATTATGTTAAGTTTACCTTTTAATGTAGATACAAATATAATGGAATCTGGACATTTGGAAATTTTAGCGATTTGCAACACGACTCAGCCACTTTGTATATGACCTTACAAAATTTCAATTCTTTCAGAGATTTGCAAATTTTCTATCAAATTTTAAAAGTGCGCAACATATTTATTTTCATTTTATACGATTATCAAAACTCCAAGTATCCTCCAAATATCCCCCAAGTTAAAATTCTTTTGTGAATTTATTATAAAAAAAATTATTTATATGTACCATACATATTTCTCCCAAATTTATGCTGTTACATTTCTATCTTCAACAGGTTTCATTATAAGGCATTCAATATAAGTTGTTTTAATATAAGTTGTCAAATGAAAATGTAGGCGAATGTCAAAACATGCGATTTTGACAATTTAAATTTCAAAATCGTTTCACGATGTAAACACAATACTTTATACGTTTTACGCTGCAACACTTAGATCAAAATAACAACGCTGCAGCATTTAAATAATAATAACAAAATTTATAAACTGATTTAATAGAAGTTAAAAAAGTATAAATTAAGGATTGTTGTAACCTATGAAAAGAAAGTTAATTTTTAAAATTAAAAATCTTCCCATTTTTTCGTCTGATTCTCTCTCAGTGGAACAACTTAACAAATTCAAAATTATCACAGACAGAAGCAAAGACAGTCTTCTATTATTTAATACTTTTATTAAACATTATTTATTATTTTAATTCCAACATGGAAATAACGACGCAACTTCCAAATACATGTTGTTATTTCATCATGCCAAACCTGGAACTGTCGAGATTTTAAGTACATCTTTGCGTCAAGATTACGTTTATAATTTTAAGCTTATGACTGTGTACATTACTGCGACAGCAACAGTTACTTAAAATGTCAAAATGTTATTCAAGAGAAACTTTTTATCTTTCGAAAAGTAAAATACAAATTTTTTACCGTCTTCAAACTTCATCTCTATTTTTTCTTTTTATTCAGATCTTTTTTCTTCATATTTCAGATTATTTTTCAAAATTTGCAACACAAAGGTAGAGTTAATCTTTGCAGCCCTTACAAAAATAGGTTTCATTTATGAAGAACTACATTGTGATGAAATTAAAAAAAAAATAGCTCTGCCAATAAGAATTGGCTGTTTGCAATAAATGTCACAATTAAAAACTGACAAAACAAACAATGTAAATATTGTCATAATAAAATAGATCTTAGGGGACACAATAGATACTTATATGCCAGTCGCAGTGACTTGTTACCGCAGCTGTACAATTTATAATCAGTTCTGTGCAGAATTTTCGCATAATAACACACTAAACCTGATTTTCGAAGAATTGTAACAGGAACTGCTCGTGACAAAACAGAATAAGTTAAATGATATAATTATGTAAGTATTATATATGGAATAGATTAATTTTTTAAAAAAAATTTTGCATCGTATTTGAAGTAGTTTTTTCTTAAAAGTGGTTTACAATTTTTTTTTAATTCAATTTTGGGTGATTTCATTTTGATATTATATGACAGTTTACCATAATATAATAATATAGCACATATACAATATACTATCAATAGATTTTGATTATTGAAATGAAAAATTTTTCAAAACAATATTATGTAGGGTATAAAAATTTATGAATTGTCATATTTTGACATTTGAAATGTTTTTGTGTCAATTTTTGACTTCTTATAAGAATGTTTCTGACATTTATAATACGGTGAGATACTACATGTAAATACTTCTCAATAAATGAAATATGTACTGTTTTAAAGTATTAATTCATTTTGTAATCAAACGAGTACTTTTTTATAATTTAAATAAGTATAAATGGAAATTAAGATATTAAACTATATAAAAAATATTAAAAAAACATCTTTCTAAAAACAAATTGATAAATTAATTTTTTATTCATATTTACCCTAGAAGTGGAAAAAGAGCAGCGCAAATATTTTATATCTGAGTTTTTATTAAAATATAGTATCTAATTGGAATGTAATTGAAATTTGTATTGACATTTTCAATTTTATTTCATATATAATTATTTTTTATATTTAGTATTAATATAAATGAATTAAAATAATGACTTGAAAGGTAATTTTTATAAATTTATAAATTAAAATTATGTAATTTATAAAAATATTTAAATTATAAATAATTGATGATTTCTTTTCAAATAATTTAGATCAACCGTTGGCAAACTTTTGTAGGCTATGAATAAATATGTACTAACAGTATAAGCATAAGCCACTCGAATTTCTTATTTTATCTACTTACAAGAAGAAAAGACATTTTCAACTGACTTTATTGATTATTTTGTTTTGACAAATAACAAATTTGTATGGATTTTTATGTACCTATATTTATATTATGTATATTTGAGTTCTTAAAATTTTTTTGAAAAAAATTTTTCAAATTATAAAAGTCACAATGGAATATTTTTTTATTTTGCAAACAGAGTGGTGAACCGCATGCTGTCCATGGGCCGCATTTTGGCGACAGCTGATTTAAATAATTTTATTTTTATTGAACTCAATGAAAATTGATTACTAAAATAGTAATCATAAATTGTTATGAAAGTAATCATTTCAAATGTCAAAAAATATTCTTATATTTTTTATTTATTCGTTCTCACTTTTTGTTTTTTTTTTGCATATATGTCATTATATTGCATACATAAATATGTAAATAAGTATGTATTTAAAAATTTTCTTAGTGTAGATAGACAATATTGTATGAGTTGTGTTTGTTAAAAATTTTTTTTTTCTTTATATACGCGGATACATACACAAATATATATATTAAATATAATTTATGTACATACATGAAAATTGTATAATATATAAGTATTTATTTATTTTTTTTTTTTTAAAAATATTCATTTGCAGCATCTTTTTTAGTTTCCAGTGTAACTTCAAATTGTGAAGGTCGTCGACGGTATACAATTTAATATTATTTCGCGTTAAAGCGTTTTAAGACATATACACACAAAAAATAATAATTTTTTTTTTTTTTAGCTTAGCTAAATGTGTAAAGAATATTTATTTGTTTTTTTTTTTTTTTTTTAATTTAATATATTTTTCTGTTCATATATAAATGTATATATAATATAGAATTTTATATTATTATGTATTATATATTTATAAAAAAGAAGAAAAAAAATGTGCATATATACAATTAAAATATAAAATTATGTGTATGTATAAATATAAAGAAGAGAAATAATTTCAAATGAATAATGTGCTAAAAAATTAATAATATTTTTTATATATGTTTTTTATAATTAAAAAATAAAAAGAAAAATAATAAAAAGTTATTTACATTTAATATTTTTAATTCAAAAAATAAATATAAGAATATATTATTTTACTAAATCTATAAAGTAAAGTATAAATTAAGTTGCAAAAAAAAGAGAGAAAAAAAATTAAATTGTTTTCATTAAAATCCATTTGTCATTTAATTGTCATTTAAAATTTGTATGTACATATGTATGTAATTTTTCGCAAAAAAAAAAACAAAAGAAAAAAATTTCCTTTTGTTCCGAGAAAAAAATAAAAAAATACATAATAAAATACATACACACAAATATGTATTTATAAATGTGTATATAATAAAAAATGGAAAAAATTCTTATTTATGTGGATTAAATATAAAATAATTTGTATATAATAATAAATGTTTATTTAGAAAGAAAACTTTTATACACAATATATTAAAAAGTGTTTTTTTTTTTTTTATTTTTACTTATAGAAGAAGAAATTGGCGACGCGAACGCGTTCTCTAAATTTTTATTTTTTATTTTTTTATTTAAAACATCGTATACATAATGTTATATACATATATATGTGTGTATAATCTAAAATAATATTAGTACACTTAATATTGTTATACATCTTTCTATCTCTTCTGCATGTCATGTATATATTGTATGTGTACAATAATATATACATAAAAATAAAAATCAAAAAACAAAAAAAAAAAAATAAATGCAAAAATAAGAATAAAAAAAAAATCGCAATCCTATTTTTAACTAAGCTTTTTTTTTTTTTTTCGTTTCATTTTTCGCATGCATATGTGTAGTGTGTGGTTGTTTTCATATTATTAAAATATTCAAAACCGGGTAATTTGCACCAATAAGAAAAAAAAAAAGAACACAAGAAAAAAATGCAAAAAATAAAAAAATTGGAATAATAAAGAAAATATTTTATATGTACTCTATACGTAGATATGTATATATTTATATATTATGTATATACGTATGTATTATATAAAAATATAAGAATAAATACAATATTCATAAAATATTGAATTTATAAATATTATGTACTTTACATATGTATGTACATATGTATATAAATTTCATTATACATAAATATATTGTACATTTAAAATAGAAAAAAAAATATTTAAATAATTTTTTTTTTTCATAAATATTATTATTATAAAAGTGAGAAATGAAATGTGAATTTTTCAAAAAAACAAGAAAAACAAAATGAAAAGCGTGTAAATATATGTATGCATATATATGTATGTATGTATATACTCAAGTAAAATAAATTTTTTTTAAAAAAATTCTTTTTAATAACTATTCTTAAAAAAATTATATTTTTTGTATACATACATTATATGCATTATATTTAATAAAAAAAAAACAGAAAAATAATATATATACTTACCTATGTACAATTTGGGATATACTTTTTGTACCTACTTATACTTATAATTTAAAATTTTTCAAAAAAATAAATATATTGATTACATTTTTAATTTAAATTTATAATTTCAACAAAAAAAAAAAAAAAAAAACAAAAAAATGTGCAATTATTTAAAAATGTAAATTCAATCGAAATAGCATTTAGTGTCCATATGTGTATGTAAATGTGTACAAATTGATGTAAATAATTACGTAGGTCTTAGCATGCACAATTAAAAATAAAAATTAAATATAAAATTCATTAAAATCCCTTATTTTTTGGAATAATCCCTTATTTTTACTTGAGGAATTATTTAATTAATAATTGAAGAAGTAAGTGAATAAGGGGGTTAAGTAAAATTTTGACGAAAATCGAGCTTTTCGGATAGAACATCATTAAATTTCATATATTTCAACTGTGATTACTCTTATAGCTGAAAACTTAATAGAAGACGAGATTGACAGTGCACATAGGAGATAAGTAACAATAAAAAATTAATATTTTTACAATTTGTTTATGAAAAAATGTGTCACAATGTAAATGTAAGTTAACCGCTTTGTCCATTTACCTCTTCAATTATTAAAACAAATTAATAAATACTTAATTTTTTTATTCTGTTAAAAAAATTATTAACATTTATTTATTTATTAATAAAAATTAGAGAACAGCAAAAATAGTGAATACTTATTGTTTAACAAATACTTTACGGTAGAATATAATACTTGTATGAATATTGTAAGTGAAATAATAATGTGAATTATAAAAATTCAATGTAGGGTCTAGGTAGGTTACTTATTTCAATATTGTAAAGAATGGAAGGACAAAAAAAAATATTTTATTTATTTAATTAAAATCTTGAATATTAATTTTTTTTTTTAATAATTTTTCTTTCTAAAGTTTATCATAATCATAAAATTTATCATAAGTGTTATATAATTAATGTTTTCTTTTCGCATTTTAAGTGAGGTAGGTAATGTTCTTTAAGTAATTCGGAAAATATAAGAATATTAATTACTTATATTTGCAGAAGAAATTACCATAAAATTTCATAAAATCAGTAAAATTTCTAAATTTAGTTTGAAAAAATTATGAATATTACTGCTTTTATCTGTAACAAAGGAAAACAAATTAAATTTTAGACAATTACTTATTAATTTATTTATCTAGTTTTCACTTGGTGATTTTTATGTGGCTTTTAGGATTCATTTGAAACACAAATTTCAATAATCATATAAGATTTTTTAGTTATATTACTTGTATAAGAAACATAACAGATTAAAATTCTCAAATAAATAAAACAAAATTGAATTATAAAAAAATTTATTTAAGTTGTTGTAAAACACAAGAAATAATTTACTTATTCAAGAAATGCTCTTACTTTTACTGAAAAAATTGCAATTTTTTATGAAACATCTGTAATTATTATTTTTTGACTGATTATGTAGGTTTTTTTAAAAATTCTGAAAACTCTTTCTTTGTCAAAAACTAACTGGTCAATATGGTATATTCATATAACAATTTATTTTACACTTGGTCTAAGCCTTGGCCTATCTAAATTAGATTTGTTATGGTAATTGCATATCAAAACTTAGACTAATTAAATTCTATATAATAAAATTTTAATTTATAAAGTGAATAAAGTTTTCTATTTAATTTTTAAGAAAAAAAAACAAAAAAATTGGTTTAATATAAATTTTATTCTAAAGAAGTATTAAAAAAAATAATAGAATTTTGATAGTAAAAGAGATTTTAATATCATTTAGTTTTCGGTATTTATAAGCTATTTTTGACATTTGGCCATATTACATCTATTATAACGTCATATCAGAAAATATTCATTTATGAAATTTATTATTAATTTTGAATTTCATTTAACAAATCAAAAAAAAAAAATGAATTTTTTTGATAAACCATGTCATTCAAATCCCAAATTAATAGTTAACAATTTACAAACAACACTACTTAACTAATAAATTTTTAATTAGAATATGTCGCTCATAAGTTATAAATTGTGTCACATGTAACTGAGAATTGTATCACATGAATTTTGGGTTAATCTTATTTCTTCAATCATCATACTTTGTTTGCCATAGGTTAACCAAACAAAAGTTATTTATTTTAGATAATTTATTTAATGCAAATCTGCATTACCAATAAAGAAAACGTTACTTGCGCTGCTAGCATTTATTTTACATTTGCACGCTATCGAATTATAAAATGAATAATTTTAAATCATGTGACAATATTCTTAAAAAAATTTTGATTATATGTGACATTGTGCTAATTTCGCCTTTGTTTGAATCTTAAATGTAAAGAAAAATCTTTTTCTTCTTTAATTTTCAGTCAGTTATAGAATTGAGAATTTATTTCACATTCCGATTTCTTTGAAATATCTAATCACTTACTCCGTTATTTATAATATTCATTTTTAATAATTTTTGTATTTTATTTTCTTTAATTGAAATTTTGAAATAAGTACCTATTTAATTTTATTCGAATAAATGAAATGAAAATAATTCAGTTTTAAATAATATATAATATTAAAAATACTATTTGACCATTTAATATAATATTTTATAGTTATAGTTATGCAAATATTTTATTTATATGCATAAATTATAGATGGACTCAAAATATTATTATTATTGTATTTAAAAATGAATATTAAAAAAAAATGTTATTGCGTAAGAATTTTTAATTTTCTTTTTTGTTTTTTATTAAATTTTTGTGTGTTTATAATTTCACTTATATATAAAAATGTTTTTCTTATACTTAGTTAGTTACTTGTATTTATAAATACCGAACACCGATAGAGAAAGAACAGAAATAATTGAAAAAAAAGAAACAAGAAAAAATCGTTTTATATAAACAAAAAAATTAAATAAATAATAAAAGAAAATATTAAGAAAAATGCAAAGAAAATGAAACGGAAATCTAAAATAAAAAAAAAAAATATATAAAAATATTTCGTTTTCTCTTGATATTTTAATTATTTCCAAAATTATAATGGAAATGAAATCGCAAAATAATTAAGTATAAGAAAAACACCAAAAAAATACGTAAAATTACAAAAAAATTGGAATTCTTTTCATACATTCAATTTTTATGATTTTTAATATTTAAGTAACATTTTATTTATAATTTATATTTATTTATTGAAATAAGGGAAATTAATAAATAAAATAATTAAAATTAGAAATTGAAAGATGCAAAAATTAAAAAAGACAATGCTGATAAGCTATAAAATAAGTAAAACCAAAAAATTAAATTAGAATTAAGAAATCTAATTTGAAATTTTTGTAATATTTCTTCAAAAGGAACAGAAATTAAGTATAGTCATTGCTGTGCAATTAAAATTGAATATTCTAATTATAATTGTAATTATATAAGTAGAAATCAATTACCTAAATATTTTGTTAGAAATCAATATAAAAACAAAATTAATTCTCAAAATTTTAATAAAAACGAAGGAGATTTTAGGAATTCTACTGGCCCAAAAATTATATTGTAGCAGAAAAGTTTAAAAAGGTTTAAGAGGTGATTTTTTTATTGAATATTTTATTTACCAAAAAATTATCTTAAACTATAAGAAAAATTATAACATTCAAACTTAATTAAAAGCATTTTAATCGCGCTTGTATAAAGGTTTATTAACTTTATTAAATTTGCACCTTTTTTTTAACTCTTAACTTATTTTAGACACTCATAATTTGACTAATTAAAATTATGAATTTCAAGTACTTATTTACTTAATTATATATTTCAGAAATTGATTTAAATTTATATTAGTGTATTTAAAATTAATTTTAAAATTATTTTCTATTTTTAATGAAAATTTATAAAAAATTCTTAATGAAAGTCATAATATGCCGGGATGGCTTACTGGAAAAGTGCTAATTATTAAAAAAATATATATAGATATATACATAGGTATATTTATTTTAAAATTTTAATTAAGTATAAGAGGTTTTTTTTAATGCAAAACCGTTATATCCCAATTATTTTCATAAGAACCGAAAAATTTTACTTACATAATTATATTAAATTCATTTTTACATAGCTGTTTTTTTTTAATAAATTACAAAGTATAATTAAAATTTTTAATATTAAATAGTTAATAATATTTTTATATATATATATATTAATTTTTTTTATACAATATTGCTTAGAATAATTAATAATTAAAACAAAAAATGTGTAACAAATAACAAAAAAAAAAAAGAGAAAAAAAAATACGTTTTATAGTAAACAAAAAATAAAATAAAATAAAAAGTGTTATACACAAATATAATTAAAAAAAAATTAATTATAAAAAATTATATTAAGATTTAAAATTTAATTACAATATTAATATTAGAAATAAAAATTAAAAAATTAATAAGTAATAATTACCAATAAGGGTTTCAAATATTTAAAAAGAAAAATAAAAATATTCTTCCTCTTTTTAATTTTACAACAAAATCAAAGTTACAATACACACACCTACACACATATTTACTTCACGATGAAAGTATATAAGGGTGTCTATGTGTTTGTTAGTTTTTCGCCAAAAATTCAGATAAAATTCAATAAAACATAAATGAAATAAGCAAAAAATAAAAAGAAGAAAATAATCACTTAATAATAAAATTTAATTTTAAAATTGTGAATAAGATTTCAAAAAAAAAAACAAAAATTAAAATAAAAATGAAAATGTAAAAATGATTCTACACAAAAAAGCTGACAATCAGCCAAAATAAACGCAAAAAAAACCAAAAAAAAAAAAACAATAATAATTATAAAATGAAATTTTTAGAATAATATTAGAGAAACACAAAAAAAAAAACAAACAAAAAAAAACATTTTGAAAATTATTAACCTGTCAAACTCTCTAGTGTCATTTTGTTTATGTGACCGCGTATACAAATGTCAACAAAAGTAAATTAACAGAAAACAAGACGTATTTAAATATTTTAAATATTTATTTACACATACTTACTTACATAGAAATATAATGTATATATATATATATTTGTTATATATATATACAAGTATTTAACTCACAATTATGATATTTATTAAATTTGTGTTAAATTTAAAATAAAAAGTAAAAGAGAATTTTAAAAACAAAAAAATTTTGAGAAATCAAATTTTGCAAGAAAAAAAAACAACATTTCAAAAACATAAAAGTGTAAAACATATGAAAAACACCGCGTTAATATTTTCATATTGAACACACACCCACTTCATGCATCTGTGGAAAATAAAATAAAAAAAAAGAGGCATAACACATGTGAATTTTCTTAACTCTTGAGGAATTTTAAAGAGAAAGAATTTTTACAAAAATATTTTGTTATTTTTTTAATTTCTACACAAAATAATTGAATAATTTCAAATTTTAATATTATACAAGTGTATTCAAAATGTTATTTGTGAATAAAAATTAAAAACCTCTTTTGTTTTGGTTTCATTCTTAAAATTTATAATTATTGATTAAATTAATAAAAAAACAACAACCAACAATAAAAAAATTTATAAAATTTTTCAAAATATTTACAAAAACAAAATGATGAATAAATTATTAATTTTAATTGAATAATAATTAAAAAAATCACAAAAAATATTACCTAAAACCAAAAATTTAAAATTGAATCAAAAAAATTAAAAAAAGAAAATCCAAGCAAGGCAAAGTTTCCTTTTGAAATTCACTCAAATAAAATTGAAAATAAATTTCAAAAATCTTTTTAAATTAAAATAAAAATTTTTAGAGGAACACAAATAAATCCAAAAAAAAAAGGAAAAATAATAAATCAGAAAGAAAATAAAAAAAATTTTTAATCTTGTGATTTTTTTTTTTGTTTTCGTTTTCGTTTTTTTTTTTTTAAAGTGGTTTTGAAAAAGTGTGCGCGATATTAAAAATTAATTTTTTAAAAAATTTTTGTTCGAACTCAAAATGACAGAATTTGTGACACCTCATCTTCGAACTGTATTAAAAACTTATCAGAATAGTGCCACAAAAAGCCTTCAAGGTCCTGGACAATCATTGCCATCAGTTGCAACACAACATCATTTATCAACACATCATTTAAATAATCATTTAACGGCTACAGTAACAACGGGATCAGCAACTGTATTAGCGATTCCATCACAAAATAATCATTTAAATAATAATAATAATAGCAATACAAATAATTGTAATTTATTAATTAATAATAATAATAACGGTAGTAATAGTAATAATATAAATCTTAATCATAATGGATCTAATACAAAAAATAATACAAATATATTATCAACATCATCAACAGCATCATCATCATCAGCATCAATATTATCATCAATTAATACAACAAGTGGTATTACAATTAAAAAAGAAATTCTTAGCTCACCGGAGCCATTAGATTGTAATGATACATCGGATAATATGATGCATAATGTAATTGTACAACCACCATTACCACCAGAAATACCACAACCAATATTAACAGCACCAGATACTGGTTGTGGTGAATTATTACATACTGAATTAGAGGGTAAACCAATTGGTTGTTTTTTATTAGGTGGTGAAATGCGTTTATGTTTACCACAATTTTTAAATAATGTATTAACTGATTTTACATTAGATCAAATTAATCATATATTTGATGATCTCAGAATATTTTGTTCACAATGTTCACCAGATCAATTAATGAAATTTAAAGGGGCAAAAATATTACCAGATGATGTTAAAGCATCTGGTTTAATAACACGTACTGATGCTGAAAGATTATGTGCAGCATTATTACATCGTTCTGATATTGGTCGTTGTAATATTGACATTCCAAAAGGTGCTACATCATTTAAAGTATATCATCGTTGTTTTGGTAAATGTGAAGGTATATGTATACCAGATTTATATTCATTTCAAAAGCCATCATGTATAAGATGTTGTGAATGTAAAGGTTTATTTTCACCACAAAAATTTGTTGGACATGTACATCGTTTACATGAAAATCGTACATGTCATTGGGGTTTTGATTCACGTAATTGGCGTGATTATTTACATGTTGCATTAGATGAAGATAATCGAGATAAATATACAAAAATGCTTGATGATTTAAAAGAAATTGAACAACAGGAAATTATGAATGCTGAATTACAAATGGCAGCTATTAAAAGAAAGGTAAGTGAAAGTTAATTAAATTTTTCCACAAATTATAAATAAAATGTTTTTTTTTTTTCTGGATTTTTGATATTTACATTTTGGCTATAGAATGTTCTTTTTTTTATATATGTATATATTTTGCGTCTCTTTAGAAATGTACAATTTATTACATATCAGATGCGTCATATCACATTCTAAAATGCCAAAAGTGTTTTGACAGTGTTAATAGTGACATATTTATTTAGTGTTGTATTTCTGACGTTGTCAACATTGTAGAATCTATCGAAATTTTTGTCCATACCTTCTGATTTAGTTTCGGTTTTGATATGTCGATTTAATACTGTGTAACGAAAACATTCCATTTTTGATTTTGCATATTAAGTATTTGAGTTTTAAATTGCCGTATTATACATTTAATAGTATTAAATTACAATTCAGCAACTGTAACCAATAAGCCGAAATTTGGGTTACAAATCCATGTTAACGAAATTTTGAAATCAGACTTTCCGTAAAATGCAAATAGCGACAACAAAATACTCATTTTAATAGTTATAGTGGCATCCTTTCAGGTTTCTGTGCATTTTCACCCCAAATTTGTATATAAAGAATTTTTAATTGAAAAATTTGTTTTTACGATTTCTAACGAAGTTAAATAATTTTCTTCAATAATAAATGATCCCAAAGGCACTCAATGTAAAAAAAAAAAATATTCATATTTTTCACACTAATTTTAGAATTTTTTACATAACAAATTTATAAAATCCTTTTTGAACCCCTCTTAAAATAGTATTAATTTTAACGGTTTTTTTTTCTGTTATTGTTTTTGAACGATGTCATGCCGTACAAAGTTTTTAGTTGTGAGAAAATTTTTTTGGATTACTTAAATTTATTGTTAATTTTATTTTTCTTCTTCCAAAAAACTTGAAAACTTAAAAGAAAAGCAACATTGTAAGCACATGCTATAGGTCTAACAAGGATAACTTGTATGCTTACTTAAGCTTGCATTGTAACTCCTTATGTCATATATGTAACGTATGCAAGAATGTTATACGACATTAAAAAAATCGTCTCCTTCGGGAATATTATTAACATATTCAATGGAATTTTAACTGTATTTTTTTTTTGATGAATTTTTTTTGTTTATCACATATTATTTGTTTTTCTTTGTTTATTGCAAATCTAAAAAAGAAAAAGAATGTTTGTTATTTTCAATTTTTACTTATACTTATTTACTTTTTTTTCCGTCCTACTTTTATAAAATTGAAATCCTGCGAAAAAAAAACAAATCATAATAAAAACATCTGAACCTTAATAATAAACAAAATCTTCCTTGAATTATTATTATTATTATTATTTTTTGCTTTCAATACGACCTTGACAGGGTATAACAAAAAATATCTTAATGCCATGATTCCATATTTTATTTTGTATTCGTATATATATATATATATATATATATATACGAATACATCTATATATATATTTTCGTGTACACATTCTCATTTCATTTTTGATTACAAAATTTTCTGTTGTTTATTTTTTACTTTTCATGTATTTTTATTTTTGGAACTATATACTCTCTTACTACAATACAATATCCTTATTACATTTTATTATTATTGTTATTATTCTAAAGTTTTTACATAAAAACAAAAAAATAAAATTCTCTTGTATCGTCAAAAGTGTAGGAATGGTAAATAATAACAAACAAGAAAAAAAAAATAAATATATTTTTAAGCAAATGAAATGAAGGGTAAACAAAAAACCAACTAACTCAAGTCGAATAAAAAAAAGGCAGAAAACAAGGAAACAAAAAATATCGAGGGTAAAAAATGTAAAAAATTCGTATATGAATTGAAATTTGAACAAAAAAAAAAACAGTAGAAAAAAATTAAATTACACAAAAACAGGAAATTAACACTAAAGAAAAGGTACAATCAGGTTATATAAGAGCAGGAAAACGTATTTTTTTTTTGTTGTTTGCTGAATGGAATTTAAAAGGAAGAAAAAATAGGTATAAGGATAAAAGTAAACAAAATTTACACAAAAATAAAAAAAAAATCATGCAAATTTTTTATACGTAACTGAATGAGTAACTAACTATGTTATAATAGAAGGATGAAGTTGAAGAAATTATTTTATTTGTTTGGATTTCGAAAAAAATAAGGCTCATTTTTTTCTTCGGGTGTCCTTTCTTCTATAAAACATTAATTAAATTAATGATAAACTATGCAGCAATTTAAATTAAAATGCATAAGTAAAATATTTATAAATGCTTAAGTATGTATTAGCTATATACTAATGTAATTTAGAAATAATTAAGAATATAAAAAACTTAAATGGATTTTTTTGAAGAACCTCTCCTCTCTACCAAATTAAAAATATTAATAAACAATTAAATTAAATGTTTTTCATTTAATTATTAAAATTTAGAAAATTTAGTTTTATTATAATGAAATTTAACACTTACATACATATTATGTAATAAATACCCCTCGGGTTATGCAAAAAGAAATACTGTAACATTAATTAATCGAGAGGCTGTAAGCGTAGAAAGCTTCAAATTAATAACTTTAAAATATTGAAATTCACTGTAAAAATTCGAAAATTTCAAAACTAATGTAATTTGATGCATTAATTTCGAAGTTTCCTTTATAATTTTCAACTTACATACTAGAGTAATTTTGTATTGGTATACTATTCAGCTCATATGTTCTTATTTCCTGTGTTTTCCAGCTTATGTAATTGACATTTTTGTTTTAAATAAAGCTTGCTCTTCATTTTGAATTGAAGTTTTACTGCCGTTTTCAATTTCGGATTTATATTCGAATTATGAAATCGATATAATCGGATAAATCGGGGAAAAAAAATTATTTTTTGTTCTTCACATTTACGCTCAATTGCAAGATGCCAATTTCGAATTATGATTTCTTTGTGTATGTACATATAACGATTTAGCAACTAAATACGAACATTTTTAAAGTGCCGTCCTTGTCAATACTCGTTTATAAAAAAGGACGAATTATACATAAAGTGTCCGATAAAAAAGAGATTCAATTTTGTTTCTTTCTTTTTTGGAATCCAGGGAACAAGTGCCATAAAATAAAATGCTGTATGATTATTTTTATAAAAATTTTGCGTATAATTAGTTAGGTAGATGATTTCCCAAAAATCATGATTTTAATTTTATAAACCTATGCTGATTTTATTATCGTTTTTATTTTTATATGTTTATAATAATCAAATTCATTTTGTATGCCCAAAAGAGCTTCACTTAAATTCTTTTATTAATTTTGAATTATTTAAATTTAAAACATTTTTAATAAATTCAATTTCCGGATTGCGAGCTGTTCACATATTATTCAAAGATCTAGAAACTGGAGAAGTTTCACAGCAAAAACTTGGGATTTGTAAAATGCTTATATAATAATTTCTCTCTTTACCCTGTTTAATTAACAAGCAATTTTATATTTCGAAATTAAGCTTAAGTAATTGTAAATTAATAAAACAAACATTTATTACGTATGTATAACAGTTGTTAATTTCTAACTTTTATTATTTAATAATTAAATCAATAAAATGATATTAAATAGAGTTTAAAACCACGATAAATGTGTGTTAATAAATTAATTTAAAGAAATAAAAAAGAAAATCCAAATAAATCATAATAATGCAGCATTGCTTTTTATTTTATTATTTTATTCTCAAACTAAAATTTACTTAAAATAATAAAACGCTATAATTATAGAGGTTAAATAAACATTAATTCCAATGCGACCTTATGTGATTGTTGTATATTCATTCAACAATCAAAGAATAAAGCACAACTGTTCTAAAATTATAAGTAGATAGATTTTTATTTCTTTTTTTTTTTTTGTTGGTTGGCGTTTTTATAATCACAGTTTTTCCCCAATTAAATTTTATTTTTATTTATTATTTTGGAATATTCTTGATTCTCTTAAGCACTTATTAGAGATTTAGTGTTCGTGCTTCTATATTTCCTTGTTTTTGTAATACTTTTTCTTAGCTTTTAACGGTCCGCAGCTCTTCTTTTTCTCCATTTTTTCTTTGTATAATCTTAAAGTCGTAAATCAATTAATTATACCATAATTATATTTTAAATGAACAATAGAAAAATTTTATTAATAAATATTAAAAAAAAAAATGATAAATCGCTGCATTCTGTGAGTTTTTATGAAATTGGGAAAAAAAGACTACTTAATTTTTTATTTTTTTTATTACAAGAATGCAATAAGAGTAAAGATTTTTATTTTACTTTTGGGGATTTAAAAATTATTTTCTAAAATTTTTGATTTATGTTTTTTTGTATTCTACACTCATTTATTGTATGAAAAAATAATTCTAATATTAAAAAAATTTAACAGAATTTTCTTAGAAAGTTTTCATGACTAACTGGTATAACTGGTAAAGTCTATCAAATAGTACTGAGTTCGATAATGAGTTAGCGACATTATTTTGGTCTACTTGTGTTTAATTCTAATAGAATATTTTAAAGTTTTAATTTTCAAATCGGAAAATCTAAAAATTATTTTCGCACACAGTTTTCGACAGCTTAGTTAGAAGAACCTAGAAGAATCTCTTCTCATGTAGGAGTTGAGACAGTAATTTTTTAATTCTACATGAAAAGGCAACGGACGCTGTACTTTAAGTTGTCTTGTACCTACATGGCAAATACTTATAATCTGTCTTAAGTTTTCATAGTTAATCGACATTAATAAATTTGTTATTTTATTTGGACAAATTTTTTTTTTGCAACTCTCTCTTTTCCTCCTCGAGCTCAAATTTACGGTTACCTTTCTTGAACTTCCGCAATAAAATTTAAATACTAAAGTGTAGTTTTCACTAAAGCTATATGAATACAAGCTCTGTTAATGACTTAAAAACAGAGCTCTGTATTCATATAACGGTATTTGAAAAATGTGACGATATTCGGTTACAGTATATAAAAATATTTAATTTTGGACCTTACGAATCTATTCGTGGTCAACAACGTACGT